CGACCCACGCGCCGCGGCCCGGTGGGAAGCAGGGCAGGTGGCAGCCTCGGCCCGGCACATCCGCTCTGCGGGCCGCGACCCCGGGTCTCGGAAGGAGTTTCCCGCCCCTCGCGGGGGCTGCGCGGGGCTGGGGGACTGCGCCCGGGACATGGGGGGCTGCGCGGGGCGGGGGGTCTGGGCCCGGGATATGGGGGTCTGCGCGGGGCGGGGAGACTGCGCGCGGGACATAGGGGTCCGCTCGTGGGGCGGTGGGTCCGCGCGCGGGGAGGGAGGACTGCGCGGGACACGGGGTCTGCGCTCGGGGCGGTGGGTCTGCACCGGGGACATGGGGGTCTGTGCCCGGAACATGGGGGTCTGCGTCCGGGACACGGGATCCGCGCGCGGGGCTGGGGGATTGCGCGGGACACGGGGTCTACGCACAGGACACGGGGTCTGCGCGCGGGGTGGGGGTCCTGTGCTCGGGACATGGGGGACTGTGCGTGGGACATGGCGGTTTGAGCGCGGGGTATGGGGCGCTGCGTGCGGGGCAGACTTGCACCTCCCGAGGCTGGCTATGCCGGGCACCATCCTCCGCCTCCGCTCCTGTTCCCACCGGAAGAAGGGGCGGCATTTCCCGGGGGTGCATCAGCGACTAGCACAGCGGTGGAGTCCAGGAACTCGCCCAAGGCCACACGGCAGCGGCCCCATCGCCGGCACCTCCCTGGTCTTTGCTGCCGACCTTTCTCTCTTCAGTCTGAGCGGTTGGGCTGGGGGTGCAAGATTTTGGGTTAACCAGGAGAAGCGTCTGGAAAGTCTAAAGACATCAGGCCAGAGCGCAGAAGCAGCCAGACGTGGAGGGACCCTCTGTTTCTTGCAGAAAAACACGTTTCCTTAAGCTAGTGCTGCAGAAGGTGGTGGGAGGGGAGGGTGGCCCGGAACCCTGCAGGCCCGGGGTCCCACCGTGTGTGGGCCGCCTGGGAAGCTGCGTTGGCCATCGTGGTGGCATGTCTACAGGTAAGTTCCTGGGCATCGAAGTTTCGCTTGTAGATTTTCTTCTGCCCACCCTGGGCACTCTTGAGTGCCACGTGCACTGAGGAAATACCCAGATCTTTGCAGTGACCCGCCGCAGTAGAGTGGAGTGCTCTTTGGGCTGTTTGCACTTGCAGCCCAGGAAGGGGTGTCGGCCTCAGGACACCTGCCCCTGCCATCCATGCCTTGCTTCTCTTTACAGGTCTGGATTAAGAGCCACCATGGGTTAAGTTCTGGGTCATCGGGTGAGGAGGACAGCCAGTCAGAGTCCTCCCAGTTGGGGGCTCAGGGCTTTAGACAGACAACCACAGACAGAGGGTCAGCCCCAGGCTGCTGCTGGTGTGAGGCGGCAGTGGTCATTTTGAGCTGAATTAAAGAGCATTCAGGATCTTGGGCTAGAGAAATTGTCAGCTGAGAGCGTGCAGGAGACCAGGAGAGGGCCCAGGCTGGGGCAGGCAGAGGAGGGCACCTGTGGGAGATGCCATGTGGCCTCATACCTCCCCGCCTGCAGGGTGACAGAGCTCACCTTTCTGGTGCCCTCAGCAGCGTTTGGCCCTGTTGACCATTCTCACCTGGTCCTCCTGGTTAACCCAAAATCTTGCTCTCAGGACTTACTCCCACTTCCTTCCCCACCTCGTGTCCCTGAGGTCTTTTCCACCTTCTCTGGCCACTCCTCAGCTATGTGTCTGTGCATCCCGTGCCCATGGGCCTCCTCAGGGCTCAGTTCGGGGCCCCTCTTGCCCCCTCCACGTCTTCCAGGCACACCTGTGTCCACTCTGATTCTCTGTAGAATTGCCCATTCCTGAGTCGCCACTGCCAGCCTGGGCCTTGGTCCAGGGCCACAGGGCCAGCTCCGGCTCCAGCTCTCACAAATCCTCAAAACTCAACACCTTCACAAGAGAATGCTTACCTCCCTGCCCCCAGGCTACTGGTGGATTACACCAGACACAGAAGGGAGAAAAACACCCACTCTTGGGACACAGAGGAGGAGGGACAACTTCCCAACTCTACCTGAAACCATCTTAACCCTGGTCCCACAACCAACTGAGGACATGTTGAGAAAAGAAAGGTCCACTATCTCTCATGAGCCCAGACACAAAAATCCTCAGCAAAACATCAGCAAGTCAATTCCATCAATATATAAAAAGAATACTGTACGAATGACCCTGTGGGGATTATTCCAGGAATGCAAACTTAGTTTAACATTTAAAAGTCAACTGATGTTATTTATCATGTTAGCAGACTAGAAAAGAAAAAGCACACGAGCTTTTCAGTAGATAAAAAAAAAAAAAAAAAACATTTTGTCAACACCTGTTTGTGATAAAAACCCTCAGTAAACTGGGAATAGGAGGGAGCTCTCAACCTGGTAAAGGGTAACTACAAAACCCACAGCAACGTCCCGTGTGGTGGCGAGAGACCCGGTGCTTTCTCTCCAGTCAGGAGTGAGGCAGGATTGTGCACTGTTCACTTGGTTTCTGCTGGAGGACACAGCCAACGTCGCAAGGCAGGGAAAACTCTAAATGACCTTTATTCGCAGATGACATTGCTATCTGTAGAAAACCCAAAGCTACAAAATGCTGGTAAAACTAATAAGAGAGTCTACCAAAGCAACAGCGTACCAAGCCAGAAAGGGCCAATTCTGTTTCTGTGTACTAACAATCAGAAGTTGAAATGATCGTGACAACACCGTTTACGAATGGAATAAAGACCACGAAACACTTAGGGGTATGTTTAACAAAATCTGCGTGAGATCGATACACAGGAAACTATAAAATACCACTGAGATTAAAAAAGACCTAAAGAAATGGAGAGTCATATCATGTATATAGATTCTAGGACTCTATATGGTTAATATATCAACTCTCCCAAAATTGATCTGTAGATAGAATGCAATTTCAATCAGAACCACGGCCAGTTTTTTTTTTTTTTTTTTAGAAATTGCTAAGTTGATTCTGAAACTTAAAAATATGAAGGACCTAGAAAAGCCCAAACAATTCTATAGAAGAACAAATTTGGGAAACTTCTTATACTATCTGGTTTCCAGTTTTACTATAAAACTACAGCAATCAAGAGAGTATAGTATTGGCTTAAAGAGAGACATAGATCAAAGACTGAGACCAGAGTCCAGAATAAATCCTTACGTGTACGGCAACTGGGTTTCAACAAAGGTGCAAAGATAATCCAGTGGAGAAAGGATAGTTGTTTTAACAGAAGGTTCTGGAACAACTCGACAGACATATGGGTAGAAAGAACTTCGAGCTGCACTCACAGGATATACAAATACTAACTGGACTAACTAGTTGATATTAGTAAATATTAACTAGAAATGGTTCATACACCTAAATGTAAGAGCCATAAGTTTAAAACTTCTAGGAGAAAAATCTTGTGTCCTTTGGTTCAGCAAAATTTCTAAGATGCAAAAAGCACAAACCATAAAATAAAACAAAAATAATAAATTGGACTTCATCAAAATTAAAAATGTTTGTGTTTCAGGGCCGGCCGGGTGGTGCACTGGAGAGTGCGCCGCTTGGGAGTGCGGCGGCGCTCCCGCCGAGGGTTCGGATCCCATGTGGAGACCGGTTCCCGCTCACTGGCTGAGCGTGGTGCGGGCGCAACACCGAGGGTTGCGATCCCGTTGCCGGTCAGTAAAAAAGAAAAAAAAGGAAAAAAAAATGTTTGTGTTTCAAAAGACACTGTTAAAGAAAACAAAAAGCCAAAGATTGGGAGCAAGTATTTGCAAAACATATCTCTGATAAAAGACCTGTGTCTGGAATATATAAGGAACTCTTACAACTCAGTAATAAGACAACTTGCCAAGAAATAAGACAAAACATTTCAGACAAGAAGAGGTGTGGAGAGTAAATAAGCGTGTGAAAAAAATGCTCAGCATGATTCGTGATCAGATGCAGGAAAAGTTCAGGTGCAGTGAGGTGCTGCTGCACACCCGTTAGGTGACTGAAGTTCATTCAGAAGCTGACACCAGAAACTGGGGAGGACACCGGGGCACCTGGAACTCTCCTGCACTGCAGATGGGAATGCGAGATGGCATGGCTGCTTTGGAAACCAGTGTGTCAGTTTCTCGTAAAGTTTAACACACACTTACCATACAGCCCAGCAATCCCACTTACAGGTATTTTCCCAAGAGGAATGAAAACTTAAATCCACACAAAACTTGTATGCAAATGTTCACAGCAGCTTTATTTGTAATAGCCCCAAATTGAAAGCAATGCAATTACCTCTTAGTGGGTGACTGGACAGGCACTCTGGTACGTCCATACAGTGGAATACTACTCAGCAATGAACAGGAATGAGCCACTACCCTGGCCACACATGATGAATCTCAAAAACATCATGCCAAGTGAGAGAATCTGGTCCCAAATGGTTACACGCTGCATGATCCCATGCACACGATGTTATAGAAAGGGCTGAACTGTCATTACAGAAGACAGATGGGTGGCTGCCAGATCTGGGGTGGGGGCAGATGGCCGAGTGTGTGATGGGCCATCAGGTGACAGGAACGCTCTGCATCGTGACGGTGGTGATTACGCTGCTGGGTTATTTGTCAAGCTCACCGAAGTGTACACATAAATTGGTGAATTTTATTGCATGTAATTTTACTTTATAAAGCTGACCAGCAAAATGAGCTCAATGCTGAGGAGCTGGTGGCCTGGGTAGGGAAAGAAAGCCCCTCTCCTCCACTGGTTTCCTACATGTGTGTGTCAGGGTGCAGTGCCAACCATGGGGTCCAGGGCAGGCCAGGGGCAGCTGTTGGCTGTGCGTGGGTGAGCTGGGGAGGGCTTTCTGCACGAGGTGGCTCGGGCTGCCTGAGGACCTAGGTGCAGAGCAGAGTGGACAAGTGGGTCATTTCTCTTCTACTGGGGAGAGGAGGACATAAAATCATGGAGATGTCCCGTCTCCACTGCCAGCCTAGAAGTTTTCTGTGGGCAGGGGCGATGCTGTCCATGTCTGACGCCCACAGCCTCCAGCAGGGCCTCTCAGGAGAATGTGTGGCCAGAGGCTGCGGGCAGGCTGCAGCAGCTCAGGCTAGAGGGGCTGTGGGTGTCATCTGGTGTCTCTTACATCCACCGTCAAGTTCTGCCAGTGTTGGGCTGTGACTGCTACCAAGGCAGAACTGCTTCCCTTAACGACCTCCTCTCCCCACACCCCTGTCCCCAGGCCCGGGCGCCAACTGCTTGTGGCTCCTGGCCCCAGCCTTGGTTTCCCGAGGCCAATGGCTGACGTATTCCTTCACCCCCCCGCTCATTCATTCGCTCACCACGAACCCATTTATTCATTCATCCGTTCATTCACTCACTCTCCCCATGTTGCCTGAGGTTCCTTAGGCCCTGGGATTAAGGGCAGTGGTCCAGCAGGGAGTCCCTGTGGCAACTGCTGATTGCCCCAGACAGAGCAGTCACACAGACAAACGACGAGATGACCTGTTCAGCGGCATCACTGAGCTGGAGCAGACGGGCTCACAGCCCAGACAGAGCTGGGGGGTGCCGAGGCATGGGTGCAGGCGGGCAGCTGACCTAGCCACTGCTTGCTGAGCCTCACACACCCCAGAGAGGGCA